TATAAAAACATAATTAATATGTATGTATTACTTCATTTTTATAACGTTTATCAATAATTAATTGCACATCTAAGTGTAACAATTACATCAACTTGAGATGGTTGCCGCTACTGATAAGTCGTTAATTGTTCGGATCAAGTTAGTTCCACAAGCCTCTGCTCTTTCGAGTCACAAATCGGTCATCCTCTTTCCCGCTCCCTAGTGGAGTCGCCTTTACTGTGTCATTGAAGGTTCCGAAAGTTTGCTTGAAACTATTTTGTCGGTCGGATAAGACGTCAAGTAGACAAATAGATACAAGAGAGGTGCCATTAAAAGTAGAGACCACAAAAGGCACCATCCAAATACACCTGCAATGTTAAGCCAATTTCTTAAATATCTGCAAAACCAAATATGACCTATATCTAGTTATAAAAAAGAATAATATACTTTTATTTATTGTTTAATATTTTTTAAACACATTTTTGTGTTCTGTTGAGTAAAAAGGACAATAAAAGTGTGTTCGATCCCAAATTTTGGACTTACGCACAAAGAGTCACTGAGTTAGGTATCTTTGTCTTTCAGAAGAACAATCTTTAACTCTGTAAACGTCGACCACCTTGGCAGACAGGGTTGATGCAGCAAGGAAGTTAAATCATCAAAACTTACAACATTTAATATATTATACAAAATATTTACAGCACTTTTAAATAGCAAATATTTGAGTGCTGGAAAAACTAGATCAATCTGCTTGCACGTCAAACGTATACAAACAGTTATCACTTATTGTTTGTATGTTGTATTTCCACAATTTGAGATCCGAATTATTTGTTTTTTATTGAAAAGCCAGTGTCAATACTGTAAACGGGACGTCTGGATCCTTGTCTCGTCTCCTCCCCGTTTTTTTGAAAAGGGGGGGGGGGTGTTTTGTTTTTATTCTATCAATTGAATTAATGATAAAGTCAATAGTTATTCCAAAGCATACCCGAGATAAATCGTCCAAAAGAAATACGATTATTTTATGTAAAGGGACAAAAAAGAAAAATCGAGATTACAGTTCGCCAAAAAAAAGTAAATAAACCCCTGCGAATCCGTAGGAAAGAGAAAACAAGCCTCGGTTTGTGGAGCATCTCCGTCAAGGAAATTGGCCTCATCGATTTGAAAACTAGGGCTGGGCAATGAGTCGCTTAAGCAAAATCCGGATAATATGTTAGTGCACCTCTTCGGTAAATAATATGTTATGAACTGATTCGGCAAATGGGTTAGAACCCCTTTGACAAACGGGTTAGCAGCACTTCAACAAATGGGTGCACCTACTTCGGCAAACGGGTCAGGAAAGAGAGTTAAGAGTCTGTATTCGGATAATGTCTTATTGAGGATTATCCGATTATTCGGATATTTATCGAGATTCTGCACACCTCTATTGAAAACCGGCACCGCCGAGTTCCTGGGGCACTTTGTCGGCTGCAATATCGCTGGTGGCGGGAAAACTCCGCATCCAGTTGTGGAGACAGAGAGATGCCTCGACGGAACGAATTTGGAGGAAAAACAGAAGTCTTACAAAAACAATATTTGTGGATGTTC